GGGGGCATTTCAGCAGCATTCGAAATTGCCGGCGCATTCTGCCGTTGGGTGGCGGCGCAAACTGCTCATTTACAGCAGCTGCGTGGTCGGTAAACTGTTGCGTTCATCGGACTCGCCGCGGCCCCTGAAGCAAGACATGGAAAAGCTCGACGCATTCCATTGCAATTGTCTTCGCCGAATTTCGCGGGTTTCCCACTCATGCACGCGGCGCGTCAGCAGCGCGACGGCGTCGGCAAACGTCGAATCGAGACCATTGTCTCCTGTGTTACGCTAACGCCAAATGTGGTGCTCCACAGGAAGGAATCTTCCGAGACCGACAGGTCGCTCGCGAGGAGACCTGCGCGCGACGGCGACGGCGACGGCGGAGACTGGGCGGGCCGCGGGCGCCGGGGGCGCCCCAGACAGAAGTGGGCAGCCTGTGTTTACAACGCGTTATTACTGCGCGCATGCACGCGGGAGCGCCGCTGTTGCTCGCGCGATTTTTGCCCGCGCGTCTGTGGGGGGCGCGGGGCCGCAATCAGTCAGTCAGTCGGGCCATGTTGGGTCTCTCTTGGGGCCTCTTGGGCTATCTTGGAGCCGTCTTGAGGCGTGGGGGGCCCGTTCGAAGCGAGCGGGCGAGAGGGCCAACATCAACGATGGTCCTCAGGTTTCGGGCGGCGTTTTTCTGCAGGGGCCTTCCCTGGGAGTCTCCGTGGCCAATTGGGCGCATCTTGGCGCCGTCATGGGGCATCTGGGAGGTATTTTGGAAGCCATCGTGGGCCATCTTGGACCCCGCGGCGGCGCCATGGGGGGCCGCGTTGAAAAGTCTGGGGCCACCTTGGAGCCCCCATGGGGCGAGAGCATCCGAATGATGCCCCGAATGGCCAAAATCGTTGAAAACCATGTGCGCTCGTGCATTCAATGTTTTTGGGTTGATCGACGAGCGGGCGCATTAAATTAGCGTCGCCCCTCTGTAGCTCTCAACGTCGCTTCTTGGGTCCCCCGCAGGGCGTTCTTGGGGCGGTATTGGGCGCTCTTGGGGCACTCTCGTGGCCATCATGGCCCCCTCTCGGGGTTATTTCGGACCCTGTTGGAGCCGTCTTGAGGCCTCGGGGGCCCGTCGGGAACGAACGGGCGAGAGGGCTATCATCGTTGATTTGCATCGCTCGGACGTTGGACGGATTTGGGCTTCTTGGGGGCTTCGCAGGGAGGCCCCGTGGCCACTCTGGCCCGCCTTGGATTGGCATTGAGCTTTCTCAGAGCAGGTTGGAGGCCATCCTGAGCGATCTTGCGCTACCTTGGGCCATCTTAGGGGCTCCCCGGGGCTTTCCGAGGCCCTCTTGCAGCCGTCTTGAGACCAGGGCCGCCCCGTGACATTTCGCCGCCGCCCCGCCCCCCTCCAGGTCCAGGGGGGGGGGGCACTCCCGAAGGGGGAATAAAGGGGGTTGGAAGGGGAAGCGCTCTAAACCATTCGCGCCCTAAAGGGCCGGTGGGATTTTCGCCCCACGCCTTCTGGCAGTTCTTGCGCCGTCTCATTTGATCGTTGGGGGGGCCGAGTTGCAGCCCTTGGCCCGCAGACGCCCGCGTGGGCCAAACCCGTGAGCTGCTTCGACGCATAATGTTTTTGTTGGGACTTGGTCTTCGGCTCGGCAACCGGCCCAGGGGAGGTCATCCACTGCGCGCCAGGGCTCGGGACAGCCCTAGGATGCCCCTAAGACGGGAGTTCACGACGGCCCAGGGGAGTTTATAATTGGCCAAGATGGCGCCACGACGCCCCCAGATAGTCCCCGCAGGGCCCCTGCTCATGCCCAGACATGCGAAAAGGGCCCAAGAGGCCCCAGGATAATTGGTCGAATGCCCGCGACAGCTAAGAGGGCCCCTCCTAGAGGCAATGGCCCCCAGGCTGCCCAATGGGCATCGAGGGGTTGGAAGCAGCGCGCGACATGGCCCCCAATTTGCCCCATGAGGAGCAAATAACGGCCGAAGCGGAATCAGCAGTACGCAGCAGCAAACAGCAAGCAACGCCCAGCAGCGGCAATCAGCACCGCAAGGGGCATCATGTTGCAGAAACAACAGCAAGCGGCTCAAGCATCAACGCTTCTCGTCGTGCCCGAAACCGTCGCTCCAGTAGCGCGGGCCCGCGAGGTGTTCCCAGGCCCTGTGTCCCCCTGGGAGCGGAGAGCCATTGCCGCGCGCTAGAGATCGTGACTCTGCGAGTGCAGACCGCCCATTTGCACGTTGGAGGGTCGTGGGCAAAGCGGCCAGGCAGGAGGGGCGCGGTCCTGCGTCTTGCTTTTTCGCCCCGCAAGGAGCAGGAAGGTCCCGGTTTGGCGTGGTTCGGTCAGGTTCCGAAGTGCATCCGTGTCGCCTCGGTTCGGTGTCAGAGCTTTCCGGTTCGGTTCGGTTCGTCGTTGAGGATTAACGCGCGGTTCGGCCCGGCTCGCCATGTTCTTGGCTCCGGTTCGGCCACGTTCGCCACTAGGCGCGCCGCGCTCCCACCCCTCCTCTTTCTCGCGGCGCGCCACGCGCGCAGCGCGTTGCGCGCGGTGTGAAAGCGCGAACGGGCTTTCCTCAGCGCGCGCGCGCGCTCTCCGCGGGAAGGCCCGGCCCAGAACCTCGGGCGCGGGCCTGCTTGCGAGGGCGCGGGCCCTGCTCTGGAAGAAGGGCCGCGGGCGCGGGCCCCGGCCGCGCGCGCGAACGGAGCGGCGCCCAAAGCGCGGGTTTGCGGCGGTAGTTCGGCGGCGAGGGCGCGGACCCCGACCGCGTGCGCAACGGGCAGAACTGCCCGGGCACGGGCCTGGGGCGCTAGCTTTTTGCGGCGAGTGCACGGGCCCCGGCCGCGAGCGCAACTCGCAGCAGCCACCCGGGCACGGGCCCGCGGGGTCTCGGCGGCGATGGCGCGGGCTCCGACCGCGCGCGCGAAAGGAACGGCCACCCAGGCGCGGGCCTGCGGCGCTCGCGCGGCGACGAGGGCGCGGGCTCCGACCGCGAACAGGAAGACGGCGGAAGATGCAGCCGCCCAGGCGCGGGCCCGCGGGGCCGGCGCCGCGCCGCTGCGAGGGCGCGCGGGCCCCGACCGCGGCCGGCGGCGGAGGCGCGGGCCCCCGACCGAAAGCAAAGGCCCGGGGCGCTGAGTGGCGGTGGCAAGGGCCCCGACCGCGGCCGGCGGCGGAGGCGCGGGCCTGCTTGCGAGGGCGCGGGCCCCGACCGCGAACAGGAAGAGAGCCCCTCCTCTTCTTCCCCCCCCCCTTCCCCTCCAACCCCGCCCCCCCATGAATGAGTGGGGGGCGAGGGTGGAGACGGCGAGGAAGGATAACGACAATTACCTATGCGACCACCCTGCAGGTGGCGGGGAGGTCGGGGGAGGCCCAGCAATGGGCAACTGTTGCGATTGTACTGCGCGGGCGCGTTGGACACCAAAGCGCAACTGGACTTCTGCGCCTGCGCTTTTTCGTTTCTCGCAGTGAACGTATAATCGATGACCTTCGGGTCCAGGGCCCTCGCGTGCCACTTGGCGCTCATGGCCGTCTGGGCGTTCATGATCTTCAGCGTCTCCACATTATTGTCGAGCATTTCGGCTGGCAAAGCCTGGCCCCTCGTAGCGAAGCCGAATGAAGTGCGCGACCGAAGAGGGCGCGCTTCCGGCCCCCCCGCGTGCCGAGCGCAACAGAAGCCTCGAGCCGAAATCCCTGAGCGGTAAGCAAGTTGACGGGGGGCGGACCCAACGTCTCACTCAATCGATCTCACAATGGACCCCACCATCGATTTCACAATCGATCTCTCCCGATCGATCACCATCATCATCATGATCAATCAACAACAACAACAACAACGCGGGTGGTCATCATCATCAACAACAATATCATCATCAACAGCATCATCACCACCATCACCATCACCATCATCCTCATCACCATCATCACCTTCAACACCATCATTTATCACCATCATCATCATCATCACCGCCATCACCATCATCATCAACATCATCAACATCATCATCATCATCATCATCGGGGCACTGACGGGGCACGGGCGGGGCACCAGCGGGACGCCGCGGGCCCCCAGACGCCCGGACGGCAATCATTTGTTCCGGCCGCGCCTCAGCCACGCGGGGCCCCGGCGGGGCACCGGGCGGGGCACCGCTGGCCCCCAGACGGCCGGACGGCAATCATTCGGTCCGGCCGCGCCTCAGCCACAGGAGACTTTCTCTCGCCCGCCCACGCAGCTTCGCCTCGCCCGCGCGCGCGGCACGCGCGAACACGAAACCGAAATCGATTTCCCGATAGGGGGGCTCTCCATTCCTCTTCGGTCTCACTCCCCAACCTCCGATGATATTCCCATGCCGCGCATCGCTGGGGCCCAGGGGCGCGTTTGCGCAGAAGCTCGCACTGCCCGAAAGTGACTGCCGGAAGAAGTGCGATCCCCGCCGTGCCACCCCGCGCCCGTCTGCCGCAGGCGCCACTGGCCAAAGACCAATCATTTTCGCGTCAACGGGTGCGCGCTCGGAGTTATCGACCCCGCCCAATGAAGAGGAGCCCTCTTGCCGCCCCGCCCCCCCGCCTTCATCCCCCCTCAGATCTGAAGACCCAGTGCTGTTCCGCTGTATGCAGTTTTCCAGTTCAGTCAATTTACGTCGCAAGTATTAAGCTCGGGCTGCATCTGAAATTATGTTCAGGACATCGCGCACCCACAGACTGCGGGCAAAACGCTTGCATCTGCAACGGATCATTCGTTCCGTAGCAGCGGCCGCTCGAGAGCGCGCAAAGGGCGCATCTTCCCTTTTCGCGAACCCGCGCTCCCACGCCCGAGTCCGGCATGCCGGGCAGCGGCGCGAGCGGCTCCAGAGCCGTCGCTCGGGCAGCAGGTCCAGCCGTCGGTCTTGCAGGTCTCCAGACAGGCGCCGCCGCCGCGCTGCGGACGCCCTCGGGGGGAGGTCGAGGGCGAGGCGTCGTGCCGGGCCCCCCGTCGGGCCCGCCGGCGCCGGCAACTGCGGGCGAGCGAGCCCGGGCGCCCCCGAGCCCCTGCAGGAGGCGCTCTGCCGGCGGCTGCCCGCGTCGCCGGCGCAAGCGGCGGTGGACAGCGCGGAGGACTTCCTGACGAGGGCGGTCCCTGATGCGCCGCCAGACCTCGAGAGCGCCGCTGCGTCTCTCCGCGACGCAGGGTTCGCCGTGGGCTGGCAGGTGGCCCACGCGCCCATGGAGGTCGCAAAGACCATCTTGTCGCCGACCGACTTTCCCAGAGAGCTGACCCTGGTGGCGCTCGCTCAGCAGCGCCACCGCGCCGCGGACCGCGTGTCCAGCGTGGGCGCGATGACCCGGGCCCTCGCGCAGGTCGCCTGCCCCCGGGAGGCCCAGGCCAGGGCTCAGAGGCACCGTGGAGACGCTCGCGCAACGCCGGCTCGTCTTCGGATGGGCCCCGCGGCAGGTGCGACGGGGAGTTCGACGCTATTCGTGCCCGGGGATGCGCGGGGCCCCCAACGTCGACCACGGCCACATGAAGGACCACGAGGCAATGAAGCCAGTCGTCCGGGCGGCCAGGAGGGCGGCGCCGTCGGGCCCGGACAAGAGCCGGCACTTCTTGCGTCGTGGGCCTCTCGAGAAGTGGGCGCCGCAGTGGCTGGGGGCCGCGCCCTCCGCGGGGGGCATGACGCACGCCCAGTGGGCGGCTTGCTCCTGGCGCAGCTGGCCGCCCGAGCCGCCAGCAACCAGGGGGCGGCCCCCCTGCGTGGCTTCCTGCGTCTGTTGTTGAACATGGACCAGGTTGCCGTCGAGGACGCGCGCCGCGTGGCGTGGCCCAGGAAGCGGAATGGTGGGCCGGCGTCTCGGAGCGCTGCCGTCGCGGTGACCGAGCGGCCCAGCCCGAGAGCTTCTTGACCGAAGTGAGCGAGAACAGGCGCGCCCGCGCGAGGGCGGCCGCCAACTACCAGCATCAGCGCGACCGCGCCCTTCAAAACCCTCAGGGCCCCGAAGCACCGCGCCAGCGCCGCGGCGTTCTCCGGCCGAGGACAACAACTGCAGCAAGGACAGGGGCCACAAGGGCAAGGGTCTAGCCATGGAGAAAGGCGGCAAAGTCTCCGCCAAGGCCAAAGGCTGATCGCTGCCATCGGCCGCCCTTTGCTTTTTTATTCAGCTGGCATCCGGCGCTGGGCGGCGCCCAGGGAAGCCTTGGGCGCAGCCCTGCACTTCCCCGCGACGGGGCAGCGACTACTTTGAAGACCTACATGACTCATTCGAGGTCGGCCCATCGGTTCCTTCGACTAAATGTCGATTGGCATGCCAAGTCTGCGCGGCATGTTCTGAGGGGCCAGGAGAAGATGGCTGAGCCGCCGCGCCATAAATGGGCGCTCCACTCGCAGCGGGTCCGGAAGCTGCTGGCCCGCGCGGAGGCCCGCAATGATTTCGAACATGCTGCTTTGTATGCGGTTGGCCGGCTGCGCATGTTCCGTGCGCCGTCGGAATGCGCCCCTCTCGAGACTGAAGGGGCCCACTCTTCGGTCGCCATCGAATGCTTGAGCTTCAGCGTATCCTTGGTTCGTCGGAAGCCCGACAGGCGGCCAGCGGTCGTTCGTCGGGAGTGCTGCTGCAACCGGTCTGGACGGTTGTTGCGCGCTCTGCGCCACCTGGCCCCCTTCAGTCGCCCGCGCCCAGCGCGAAGGCCGAACCGGGATCTTCGCAGGGGCTGCAGACCAGTTCGTGAAGTCACTTCGTAGGGGCGCCACAGATATTGGACTGCCACATGGTGAAAAATTGGGACCCCATTCGCTGCGGCGGGGGATGGCCATAGTGGACAGCGGGGGTAGCCTCGCGACCCTGCTGCGGGCTGGCGACTGGGCGAGCTCGGCTGTCGCCCAGTACCTCAGGGACAATCAGGGCAGCGATGTCGCTCTTAGTTGATCATTCCTACTCTGAGTGGGCAGAGAAAAACAAGGACACATAACGCGCATGCAAGGGGAAACAGCCACGGGCGCTCGCGAACGATGGGTATGGCACGCAATCGCAGGGCGGGAGAAGCACAGTACACGTTGCGGCGACACGCGCGCCCTGGCCCGGCACCATTGCCTACCCGTCGTGCGGCCAGCGCGTGGACGCCGACAGGCATCGGCATGCGGCATTGGGGGATTCACTCGGCGTGCCACGCGCGAAGCGCGTTGCACGCATGGTGAAAGCACAAGCGGTAGCCGCATTGAGTGACAGTGCGTTCGGGCGAGCGCACAACGGGTTATCCAGCGCGCGCGGGCGCGCGCGCTCTCCGAGGGAAGGCCTGGCCCAGAACCTCTGGCACGGGCATGCTTGCGAGGGCGCGGGCCCTGCTCTAGAAGAAGGGCCGTGGGCGCGGGCCCCAGCCGCGCGCGCAAACGGAGCGGCCGCCCATGCACGGGCTTGCGGCGGTAGTTTGGCGGCGAGGGCACGGGCCCCGACCGCGAACGCAATGGGCAAAACTGCCCAGGCACGCGCCTGCGGCGCTAGCTTTGCGGCGAGTGCACGGGCCCCGATCGCGAGCGCAACTCGCAGCGGCCACCCAGGCACGGGCCCGCGGGGTCTCAGCGGCGAGGGCACGGGCCCCGACCGCGCGCGCGAAAGGAACAGCCACCCAGGCACGGGTTTGCGGTGCTCGTTCGGCTGCGAGGGCACGGCCCCGACCGCGAACAGGAAGACGGCGAAAAATACAGCCACCCGGGCACCGGGTTGTCGTCATTATACATCCAGGCACGACAGCCTTTCCGCCCAACCCTCGCCTCCACGCGCAGTTGCCGCGACGCGCGTGCTCTGGCCTGGCGCCATCATTGTCTACGCATCGTGCGGCCAGCGCGTGGACGCCGACAGGCATCGGCAGGTGGCAGTGGGGGTTGCACCTCTTTATCCTCCTCCTCGTCTTTCTCCTCCTCCTCCTCCCCCTCCTCCCCCTCCTCCTCCTCCTCTTCCTCCTCCTCCTCCACCTCGTCGTCCTCCTCCTCCTCCTCCTCCTCCTCCTCCTCCTCCTCCTCCTCCTCCTCCTCCTCCTCCAGCGGGGCTTAAGTGCAATTGCGCGGCAGTGCCAGCGCCTCCCTACCTGGCACACTCTAGTAAAGGGCGGGTCGAGGCCCGCGTGAGTTCCACCGGCAGCACCATACGCTGTGGGAAATTGTTTACCTGATGCCACTCAGGTGGTAGTTATATTTTATTGTTTTATGATCGAGGGCACAATGATAACACCCCAGAGTTGACTGGCCTGGCCTTGCCTCCTCCCCCCTCCTCTTCCTCCTGCCCTCCTCGCGGACAAGTAGCACCTGTGCAGCAGCATGTGCCTCCGCTTGCCGTCGCTGGCGGGGCCGCCGGCGCTGCGACTGGCCGCCGCTGCTGGCCTCTAATGGCCGCTGCCGCCGCCGCTGGCCGCGCCCAGACGAACCTGGGACCTACCCCCCCCAGGCCCCGGGACTTCCCAGACGACCCCGGACTTTTTTTCTCGATGCCCTTTTCGAGGCCCCGGGAACCCGGGGCTTCCCCGACTTGGCCTGCAGGACTTACCAAGACGGCTCTGGGACTTTACTTTTCCGAAGCCCCCTGGCCCCGGGACTTACCCCCTGGGCCCCGGGACTTACCCAGACGGACTTACTTTTTCAGGGATCCCTGGGCCCCGGGACTTAACGCCTGGGCCCCGGGGCTTATCCAACGGCTCCGGGACTTACTTTTGCGAGGCCACGCCCTGGGATTTACCCTTTGGGCCCGGACTTACCCAAACTGCTCCTGGACTTACGTTTTCGAGGCCCCGGTGCAAGATTATGCCCCGGGGCCCCGGGATATTAGCCGAAACGCTGCAGGACGTAGTTTTTCGAAGGCCTGGCTCCGGGACTTCAGGCTTCTGGGACTTACCGCCACTGCAGGGCCCCAGTGTTTTCCCCCAGGGCCAGGGACTCACCCCCATGATTCGGGCTGGCTCCAGTTCGGTTCAACATCGAAGCCGGTTCGGTTCGGTTCGATTTTACAAATCGCGTCAGTTGGTTCGGTTTTTTCCTGTTGAGCAAATTACCCTGTGACGTACCCAACCCAGTTGTATCAATTGAAACGAGGAGTTGGCCGAAACTTGTATGGACAATCAAGTTGATGTGTAAGCTACTTGGGAGGCGTCACTGTGCTGGGCCCCGCAAGCAGGCCTCGAAAGTGGCGACAGTTTCACAGATCGCAGCCCCCCAGGGATGGCGAGGTCTAATTTGAGTCGGCGGTGAGTACCCACTGTGCTGGGCCCCTCAGCAGCCCTCGAAAGTGGCGACAGTTTCACAGATCGCAGCCCCCCAGGGATGGCGAGGTCCAATTTGAGTCTGCGGTGAGTACCCACTGTGCTGAGCCCCCCAGCAGGCCTCGAAAGTGGCGACAGTTTCACAGATCGCAGCCCCCCAGGGATGGCGAGGTCCCATTTGAGTCCGCGGTGAGTACCCACTGTGCTGGGCCCCTCAGCAGCCCTCGAAAGTGGCGACAGTTTCACAGATCGCAGCCCCCCCAGGATGGCGAGGTCTAATTTGAGTCTGCGGTGAGTACCCACTGTGCTGGGCCCCTCAGCAGGCCTCGAAAGTGGCGACAGTTTCACAGATCGCAGCCCCCCAGGGATGGCGAGGTCCCATTTGAGTCTGCGGTGAGTACCCACTGTGCTGGGCCCCTCAGCAGGCCTCGAAAGTGGCGACAGTTTCACAGATCGCAGCCCCCCAGGGATGGCGAGGTCCCATTTGAGTCTGCGGTGAGTACCCACTGTGCTGGGCCCCTCAGCAGGCCTCGAAAGTGGCGACAGTTTCACAGATCGCAGCCCCCCAGGGATGGCGAGGTCCCATTTGAGTCTGCGGTGAGTACCCACTGTGCTGGGCCCCCCAGCAGGCCTCAAAAGTGGCGACAGTTTCACAGATCGCAGCCCCCCAGCTGGCACGCAGCGACGAGCGAGGCGAAAGGCAAGGGGGAAGAGAGGGGCGGGAAGGAAGGAAGGAGACGCGCGAGCAGTGCTCTATTCAAAACGAGAACCCAACGCAGGAGGGTTGGGACAAAAACTGGTTCGCGCTGGTTCGGTTCACCCCAGTTCGGTTCGGCCGATTCGGCTATGTTTTGGATTTTGCTTGAAGGGGGCAGAGCCCGAAGCTCCCCGCTCCCCGCTCTCTGGCGAGAGCTTCCCGCTCCCTGGCGGGGGGCGCGCGGCATTACAGGCGCCGCGAGCCTTCGCGAACGCGTTGCTCGCATCGGACGCCACCTCCGACGGCTGCTTCAGCGGCCAGGATCGGCTAGCTGTCAAGGCGCCCGAGCCTGCAGAGAAGCAGCAGGAGGAGGCGGAGGAGGAGGGGCAGGAGGATATGTGGGAGGAACGCGAGGGCGAGAACCTGGAGGGGGCGGGGTCTGCCGAGCAAAACGCGCGGTGGCGTGGGGAGAGAAGTACCCCTTGGTAGCTCGCACCCCGGTCTGGCCGTTCGAACCCATCTTACAGTCGGGGCCCTGAAGAAGGAACCCTTTTGGTTGGGGAGGGGCTCCGCGTTCCTTAAGTGTTTCACAGCTTGCCTCAGGTTTCCCTTATGTTTTCGATCGGAAATCGAAGTTTAACTTATGGAAAAAGGGGCCTCGTTCCTTATTTAGGGTTCCTTAGGTCAAGGCCCCGACTGTACGTGCCAAGCTAAGCGGCCTCCTCGCCTGCACCCGTGGCGTCGGGATGCAGGTTTGTCCAGCCCTCTTCCTCCTCCTCCCCCTTCTCCTCCTTCTTCTTCTTCTTCTTTTTCTTCTTCATCCTCCTCCTCGTCCTCCTCCTCGTCCTCCTCCCCTGACCCTGTCCTGTCGGCCTTCGCGTCGGGGCGGTGCGAGCACCTCGGCTCCTCTCCGACGGATCGGTCCTCGCCGCCGCGCGGCCGCCGCCTCGCAGCGCGTGGCCGAGGCGCTCCGCGCCGCGGCGCGCGCCGCCACCTCCGGCGCAGGATCGGAGTTCACCGTCGCGGCAGGCGCCCCCCCCGGATCGCTGGGGAGCCAGCGTTATTCGGACGAGATCCGCTCGTGCTGTTCTCGGCAGTCTCTTCAGGACAGCGGAACTGGCCCGACGGCGGAGGCGGCACGCCATTCTCGGACGCCTCATCCGCCACATCGCACGGCTCTTCGTCATCCCCACCCATGTCCCAGAACTCCTCGCCCACGTCGGGATCGTCCATCGTGGGCGCTCCGCCCTCTGCAGCCCAGCACTGAGGAAGGGAACACGCAATTCCAGCTGCCCCCCCGCCGGTGTGACCGGCTGCGGAAGCGCAAGGGCGCCCTCGAGGGCGCGAAGGTGTGTTCGCGCTCCGCGCTTCGCGCTTCGGCTCCGGCTCCTCCTCGTCCTCTTCTCCCCTGGGAGGCGGCGCGAGAGCGCGCAGCTATTCGCACTTCGCGCTTCGCGCAGCGCGAAGCGCGAAGTCGGGAGCCCTTGAGAAGTTGCTCCCTGCATGGGCTGTGCTGCGCGTTGCCGCCCTCTCCGTCCGAGCGCTCGGCCAGGCGGAGGCGCACAGCACGGCCTCCCGCCGCCCGCCTCTTCTCCCCCACTCTGCTGGAGCGACACAATTTGAAGTCGGTCCTGTCCCCCTACAGGGGGATTTTCGACGAAACAAAAATAAATACCCAACACATGCCCCGAAATGATCAGCAAATACTCAAAACAGAGTCCCCTGACTATTTTTGGATCATGTTTTGATTATTTTGGGGGGTATTTCTTTTTTTTTCGTCGAAAATCCCCCTGTGAGGGGACAGGCCCGAGTTGAACACAATTGTTGGAGTGACTCGGGTCGGTAGGGCCACTAGGGCTGGGCCAGCCGCCGCCGTTGCGATCGACATTGTCCACCGTCTCGAGTCTCCGCTGTTCTTACCCGGGAAGGGACATTGATCTGGGGAAAGCGGCCGCTTCCATGGCCACTCTCTACGGTCCTGGCCGCCTGGGCGGCCTGGCCCGCTGGCTCCATCGCGCAGGGTCTGGATGCCCTCAAGTTGCTGCACATGATGGACCCTCCGCTCATGTAAGATGCGTCACACTTTCGTCGTGAATCGTGCGGCTGGATCTTTGGATAGGGCATTTGCTCGTACCTGATGACTTGTGCTCCATGCCAGCACCTGGCTCAAGATGACTACTCAGATGCTCTGGCCTTTGGCTGCATCAGCATCAGTCCTGGGCTGTGATGGCTACGTCTCGGAGTAGGTTGATACATCTCTTGTCTCATGCTAGAACTGCCGACACGTAGCCTCCAGATGCTCTTCTCCCCCTCCCCCTCGCGACGCTGTTTCCATCACTGTGTGCCGCATGACGGATTTGTTCTTCGATTGTTCCGATTATAAGCAGAGTGTCTTGTCATACGATGGTTGCATGCTGACTGCATGACTGTCTGACTGACTGAATGGCTGACCGGTACCTCGGCGTTCTTCCACGCCTCAACGAGCCAGGGGCACGGTTGCGGATGTTCGGTCGCCGAGTGTGCAACGTATGAGGAATCCCACGGATGGCACAACCCATGCAGCAACCAATGGCGCAACCCATGGATGGCGCAACCCATTCATGGTGCAACCCATGGCGCAACCCATGGACGGCGCAACCTATAGGTCCATCAAATTCGGGAAGGACGCGGAGATTATGATATTTGTTATCGCGCGGAATGGAGTAGCAGAGCATTCGCCACGTGATTCAGGGGTGGCGTGGGGGAGTCGAGGGCGGTGGTTATGAGCATGTCTTCATCCGCTCCCCTTTTTCAAAGATGTTCTGTGCTGCAGGGAGTTGGCCTGCACAAGTTCGAGTGTAAATGGGTTGCAGCCCATATAGAGGGGTCCTGCTTGTCATGGCTCCCCCCATCCTGGGACGGCATGGGTTCGAGCAGCAGTGCCGGGGAACTCGCCGTCGAAAGGTCGTCCCCGATCACTGATTTCGTTCGGGTCTGTAGCGCGGCAGCACAGTTTTGCCGTGCCCAGGACCTTATTTTACGCTGAGTTGTCGAGTACAGACCGTCTATCTGGGCCAACAATCGCCGTGACGTGTCCCATCATTTCGCGTCTCAGCTGGTGCTCTTCCATGGCCAGTTTTGGTTGCAAGCTTATTTTGGGGGTTACCAGTGGACAATGCAGTAGGCAGCACCAGCTGACCAGTATCGATAGCATCTTACCTGACCGAGCTTTTGACGAGTTGCTGCGACCGCCGCTCACCACGCTCGTGGGCGCCAATGGGCAATTGGGATTGGAAGTTCCGATAGCAAGGGAGCAGGATCGGAATCAATAAAACTGGCATTGGCTTCGTGCCGTCCAGTCCCATGGGCGCGGCCCCTTTCCACATCTCCGTCCAGCCTGGCCCAGCGCTTTCTCATTTCAAGGAAGGGGCACGTGCGTGTTCCCAGCCTCAAGCAGTGGCGAAGCGTCCCGGCGTGCCTACAGTCCTACCAAACAATGTTCTAAGAACCTTTTGTGATTCCCGCGAGGTGTTCTTAGAACACTTCTGGCTGGGACCGTCTTGTTTTGACACATCGGCCTATGTTCTAAGAACATTGTTTCTGTTCTAAGAACATTGTTTTTGTTATTAGAACATTCTTGGGCTCTAAGAACACTTCGTGGAAGGACTGTAGGAATGCCGGGACGGTCGGTCCCTGCTCAACAGCCGTCGGCGTGGCACTGCGACGGAGCCTCCCCGCCCGCTCTCCGCCGAAGAGCTGGAGCGGTGCTCCAGGCAGGCTGCGCGGCCGCCCTCTGCCCTCTGCCCCGCCCTCCCCCCCCCCCCCCTGGGATGGGCCTCCTCCTCCCCCTCCCCCTCCTCCTCCTCCTCCTCCTCCTCCTCCTCCCTCCGCCTCTCCTCCTCCTCCTCTCCTCCTCCTCCTCCTCCTCCTCCTCCTCCCTCCTCCTCCTCCCTCCTCCTCCCCTCCTCTTCCTCCTCCTGCCGAACAAAAGGGGGGGATAGGGAAAGGGGGGGTTACGAAATATGCTGCTGCATGCAGCTGGTGTCGGCCCCGCCGCCGTGCCCATTTCTCGATACATGGGCGCCGGGAGGCGCCAGGAAAGTCAGCTGCGTGAGCTGATTCTCATCCCCCCCTCTTTGCTACCCCCCCTTTCGCCCAGCCCGAGATGGGCACCACTTCTTGCGCTCGCTGACGCACTCGTCGCGCGCGCCCACACTCGCAGCCGTGGTGTGCCTTCTCTCCCGCCCAGCACGAGGCTTCGGCGCGCTTCCGTCCTCTTGCCCAGCCGGCGCGAGCCTGGCGCGAGGCCGAAGCGTGGGCTGGATGGGGCCCTGGCGCATCCCCGTGGCATCCCCAGAGCAGCGCGCCACATCTGCCTCGCGAGTGTTCTCTGCGAGTCTTCTGGTACGCGTTAGCGTCCCAGATGCGCGATCGAGCTGGCGCAGCCCGTGTATGTTTTTGACGTGCAATCTTCCATGGTGGCTCCGCAGCGTAATGGAGGATGACGATTAATAAATGACCGGGGGTCGTGTTCATGCGGCGGCGCCCGGGATGACGATTAGAAAAAACCGGCCGCGGGTTGGAATGCTATGTTTTAAATCGTTTTCCTCCAGGGAACTTTTTTTTTTTTGGTTCCCCCCATTTTTTATTAATCGTCATCCCGCATTACCTGACAGCCGCATACCAGGCTTCGCGTCGCCTCGGCCTCCTCCTCTGCACCGCGCGGCTCGAGCTCCAGCTGCGGCGCGCGTGTGGACGCTTCGGAGGAGGGCGGCCGCGTCCGCGTCGGGGCACTCCTCCTCCTCCTCCTCCTCCTCCTCCTCCTCCTCCACCTCCTCCTCACGGGCGCGCGGGCGCCCACCTCTCCTGCGCCCGGTACATGACTTCACAGAACGCGCGCAGAGCCACTCGACGGGCACGCGCCCCCGGGTCCGGCACGGCCCCGGGCATCTCGAGGGGGGTGGGCGCGCGGAGGCTCGCTGGCAAGCGGGCGGCCGAGGCATCGCTCGCGAGGGCGGGATCGCCGATTCGGTTGTCCGCTGCCATTGGCTATCGCCCTTGGTTCGAGCGTGTTCCGTCGGACGACAAGCCTCGCCGACGCCTGGAACCGTGTTGGATTTGAGGATCCCGCGTTAGCTGCTCATGTTTCGTCTGGCCGTTAGCTTGCAGTCCTGAGGCCGGAGAGGCGTCCCTCTCAGAGGACGCCGACGGACTTGGTTTGCGGTTCATCCTCTTCTGCCCCTGCATGATTGCTTCCAGGGTGCGCTTCTCTCCGCGGCTGGAAGAATTATCTCCTGCATCATGTCATGGTCCGCCTTAGCCAGCCCTTCTTTCCTTTACTCCCCACGCGTCTAACACCA